TGGGGGCGATATGCTGACTCTGTAAACCGCTTAGAGAGGGCTGAAAGCCCTATGAAGTGGTATATAAGTCTAACTGCTATTGCTATTGCTATTAAATTCAGCATCCTTAACCACTGACCTGTCTCGCCCCCTACATCTATATTCTTAGTGATGTGCAAAGCATACTAATTAGCTTAGTACTCTTTAGTATGAGCAGATAGGAACCCTGCCCTACCTTAAAGGCAACTCTTGTTAAACTCTCACATGAACAAAGGCCATTATTGAAACCATTAATGCATTAAGATATTTGCTATCTATCATAATATCAACTGGATTTCTAAGGCACCGATGAATTATACTGATGAATTTTAATTCTTGTATTTTATTTTTTCCCCTCTGTCAAGAGATTTTCTTACCTTGACACGTTTTGCCATTGGGCATGATTCGGTAACCTGATGGGCAAAAACACTGGTAACTCCCTAAGATATTCCTGCATTCATGCTGACATACACCTCTGTTCTCACATTCATCAATGTCTGCAAAAAAAAATTTGAAAAAAAACCCACCCAAACATTAATATTCTGGGTAAAATGACAGGCTAAGAAAGGAAAGCGCAATTAAGGCAGGATTCCAAATATTAAATTCCAACACAGAGACACAGACATATACAACTAGAGTTTGGCTGTATTTAGACTAATTTTTTTTTCTTAGCAAATGCAGTTTAGCAAATCTGAGGAACCCTGCCACAATCGAAGCTTTTGAGGTTGACATATAAAGCTGTTTTTGAAGTCCTCTCAACTATTAGACAAGGAGCCTCTTGTCCAATCCTTCAAAAAAAGGAAAGTAGAGAGAATGTAAAGTTGATAACTGCTGGTTGTAAAAATGTCTGTCTGAAGAAGTGAGAAGACTCAAAGCCTGAGATTCAGTCAACCCCGTTCTGAAGGCTGGTGGAGACGGACAGAATCATCACTGCCAAAGTTACTTCTGTCTTTTGGGAGCCAGGAGAGTAAAATATAACTCCCTAGGGGAAACCCCTCACTGAGTACAAAGGCCTTCCTCATAGTCTCAACAAGCTAAGCATCTTTCCCTCAGAAAAATCAGACAACATTATTCATCATAGATTTGGGGACTTTTGAGAGGAAGCAACACTGCTATAAAACAGAAGAATATGACATGAATCACCAGGGTAACCCAACTTGCTTATATTTAGTCTTTCACGTAAGACTTGCTAGCAACCTTTTCTTCACCAAGGACCTCCTCCGTTAAAAGCCTTTTGTGACCAAATGGACCATGACCATGGATTCCCCAAAACTTAACTCAAGGTTTAAATCATAACATTTCTTCCAAGACTTTGCAGACCCACAACATTGCACCTTCTCCCAGGCGTCTGCGGACTACAGGTTGAGATCCATTGGTCTAGGATATGGATGCTCTGGCATCTAAACATGTTAAATGTTGGGCAAATTAGCTTCTACTCACATGACCAATCAGATCATGCCCTTGGTGTCACGTCTGCCGCTTGTTTGGAAAGTTATTTTTTTTTTTTCAGCTAACACATGTAGATACATCCCCTAAATAAACCATATTCTAAGAGGGGAAACTGGATCAGATGGAGATGGAGTGTAGGGATTAAACACAAGACAGTTCAAACTTATTTTAAGCACTGCCTGGGTTCCAATCCAGAATGGATCTAAAACCAAACAAATTATGTCACGTTGATTGGAAATGGATCTCTTCATCTTCCTTTAAATAAGAGGGACGGGTTTGCATATGTGGTAAAGGAGAAGTGGAAGATAATTCACATGTTCTATTACACTGTGAGCT